ACCATTAACCTTCCATAGCATTATTCTCAGGGAGTTACTGTTCCTCAATAAATTGTAGATTGTACTAAAGAGCGTTGAGCCGCTGATTAAAGGACTTAAATAGTTTCTCTTACTCACTTAGTTGATCCAAAGTTTTAGATAACGCACTACTGTTTTGAATTGTATTTGTATGGCCTTGCGCAAATGAAACTTTAGCAACGGAAGGAAAGTATTTTACTTCTCCTGTGTTCACAACAGGTTTGTTCGTCAGAGCATTGGCATTCTCCTCCACTGAATTTTCATTCTATTTATACCCTGAACAGGGTATATTAAGTTTGCCATGCCCGCCTGTCTATCCGTCTGTCTTTGCTTTGTCGGAACTGCTGATTCGGACCACTATAACAAATAGCTACCATACAAACTGAACGATCGGAATCAAGTTCTTGTATGGAAAACGTTCACATTTCACAATGTATTTTCACAAAAGTTGGCACAGGTTATTTTCTAAAGCAACAATGTAATCTCCGAAGAAATTGTTCAGATCGGTTGACGATAGCGTATAGCTGCAATAAAAACTGAATAATCGGAATCAAGTTCTTGTATGGAAAACTTTCACATTTGACAAGAAATATTCACGAAATTTGGTATAGATTATTTTCTAAAGCAACAATGTAATCTCCGAAGAATTTTTTTTGTGAGTCCAAAAGCTTGACAGTTTTTGCACTGTTGAATTAATTGAGATGCTTTAATAGGTTCAACTTTGACAACCGTTTTAAGAATGGTTTTCATCTGGTGAATTTTCTTAATGTCTTCGATAGCATCAAATACATCTAAAAATATATCTAGCGGTTCTTTGGTCTTCCATTTAAGCTTATTAATTGCATTTAAGATATTAAAACCTTGAAATTTTAGATCATTTCAAATGTATTGCGTATCGCATGAATTTTGTAAATTTTTTATCATTACCTTTATTGGTCTAAGGTGTTTAGTGTCGTAGCTAAACAAAGGTATACTTTCATTAGAAAAGAATTTTGTTATTGTGCGATAATTATTTGGATCGAAGTCATTAAGTTTGTAGGTGCCGTTGCTCAAAAGCGTTATTAAAAAGTTATTATTTATTAGATCTGAAATATTAGAATGTAATTTATTAAAATCCTTTACAACGTTTATTGTAATAGCGGTAGTGGCCGGTGGATTTTTCGAAGTGCAAATAATTTTTGGAGAAGTATCAGCTGTGCGTTTTTTGAAGGATGCTTCTCCATCCATCAATTCTTTAGCTAGCTCATCTTCATCGGTCATATTTGATCAGCATTCATACTAGAAGGTTTTGCTTCAACACTCAAACACCTGATTTTACTACATTTTAGTTCTTCGTTTTCTCTTTTTATTCCATCTTTATGTAACTGATTCCACATTCATAACGATAATTTTTTTTAATTATGGAATCCTTTCTTCTTCTTCTTTACTGGCGTAAACTTTACTTCTCAATTTCCTACTTAGTCCGAAGTAGTACCTTTTGGCAAGGATTATTTTACTTTGAATTTCGAGGCTGACATCTTTGCTGTGAATGCTGGTTCCAAGATAGACGAAATAAGCTTCGAACTTATGATTGTCTACATTGATGAGTGCGACGACTGTTTGTTTGAAATATTTCGATTTGCTCCGCTTTCTTATATATTCTTGTTGAGGCCAATGATATGAATATCATCGGTGTACGCCAGCAGCTTACATAAACCTATAAAGATCATTTCGTATGCGCACTCACATTAATAAGCAAAGTGTTATAACATTAATGTTGGAAATAGTAGTAGGAGTTGCTATGAACGTAATGTTGCATATAACCGAAAAAACACATGATATCATTAATCTCCACGCAGCTTGCGGAAAAATGTCTTACTTACGTGCAACATATTTTGTTTCTATACGCGCTACTTGAAGTGAGGAGCTTAAGCTTATTGTAATAACACGTTCAAACAATTATAACAGCAAATGCTCAACGACTGAAAGTGGTTAGTGGTTAGTATATTTCATTTTTCCGCACTAGTCCAGTCATTATAGTAAGTTCACCTAGGAATTCGAAATACCCAGTTGTAAGTCTGTAAATGTTGTATATTGACACCCTAAAAGTTGTCTCAAAATTTACATATGGTAGGGTGTATCTATTTTCAAGGAAATTTCATAAGAGAATTGAGAAAAATGAATAGTTAAAAAAAAACCCTAATGTACATATATTCAGATTATCTATAAATTGTAAGCAAAGTCGTTTGCGCCTAGAAATCAACGTTACTTTACTAACTTCATATTTAGTTATTTTCAGGACACCGATCATGCACGAGTAGCCCCAAAATCTATTCTTCTTCTTCTTTACTGGCGTGGAAATCTCTTACGTGGTTATAGCCGAGGTAACAACAGTGCGCTAGTCGTTTCTTCTTTTCGCACTGTGGCGCCAATTGGAATTTCCAACCGAAGTCAGGTCCTTCCCCACCTAGTCTTTCAAACTGAGTGGAGGTCTTACTCTTCTTCCCCGGTGGGTACTGCGTCGAATATTTTCAGAGCTGGAGTGTCGATTTAGACGACGTGACCCGCCAGCGTAGCCCTGTCTTTTAATTCGCTGAACTACTTCAATGTCGTCAAATATCCCATACGGCTCATTGTTCCATCGAATGCGATTTTCGCCGGGCCAAAACTCGCAAGGTTGACTCATCAGATGTTGTCTCCGTTCATGACTTATAGAGTTTTTTTTTTTTTGTTTGTCGAGAGAAGACTTTGCTTCTTAATTACCTACTTGGACCGCAGCAGCACCTGTTGGCAAGAGATATTCTGCGTTGGATTTCGAGGCTGACGATGTTATCTACGACTTCGAAAGTTCTGACTGTTAACAGTGAGGTGGGCGACTATTTCTTTGATGACAGGATATATTTCGTCTCGCTCTCGTTCACCACCAGACCCATTTGCTTCGCTTCCTTATCTCTCCTGGAGAAAGCAGAACTAGCGGCGACGTTGTTAAGGCCAATATCATCAGCATACTCCAGCAGTAGTCCACTCTCGTAGAATATGGTACCTTCTCTGTTTAGTTTGCAGCTCGAATTATTTTCTCCAGATGTAGGTTGAAGAAGTCACACGAAAGGGAGTAGCCTTGTTTGAAACGTCGTTTGTTATTGAATAGCTCGGAGAGGTTCTTCCCTATCCTGATGGAGTTACTCATAGTCAGTTATAGTCAGTTTACACAGCCGTATTAGTTTTGCGAGAACACCAAATTCAGATATCGCACCATAAAGGCAGTTCCTTTTCGTATTGGCAAAAGCAGCTTTGATATCCGGTCTCCGTTTTTATGGATTGGGCATACCACATTTAAATTCCAATCTTTGGGCATGCTTTCGTCCGACCATATTTTACAAAGAAGCTGATGCATGCTCCTTATTAGTTCTTCGCCGCCGTGTTTGAATAGCTCGGCCGGCAATCCATCGGCTCCCTCCGCTTTGTTGTTCTTCAGGCGGGTAATTGCTTTTCGAACTTCTTCCTGGTCGGGCAATGGAACGTCTGCTCCATCGTCATCGATTGAGGAATCGCGTTCGCCTTCTCCTGGCGTTGTGCGTTCGCTACCATTCAGCAGGCTGGAGAAGTGTTCCCTCCATAATTTCAGTGTGCTGTTGGCATCGGTCACTAGATCACCTTTGGGGGTTCTACAAAAGTATGCTCCGGTCTTGAAACCTTCTGCTAGCTGCCGCAACGTTTTGTAGAATTTTCGAGCATTACCCCTTAGTACCAGCTGTTCTTTTGCCTTTTCCGAAAACCAATGTTTCTGGTTGCAGCTGTACGTAAGGAGCTTGAAAAGCCGCCCCACAGTTCCCTTGTATCGAGTTGTTGACGAGGGCCCTCAGAGAGAAGGAGTGCAATTCGAGTAGAAAATCGTTCGAGTGGTCCGATTCCATAACAGGACMYCGGAGCGTACGCACGTCTAGATCACTAGAGACGTCTGTCCGTTTATCACAACATGATCGATCTGGTTGGTAGCTTTTCAATACGAAGACAGCCAGGTGAATTGAGGTCGTTTCTTATGCTGGAATTTAGTACTTCAGATAACCATATTTCGGGCCCCGGCGAAGTCGATCAGCGTCAACTCATTTGGGGATGTTTCCTCGCGGATTCTGAATTTACTGACTGGTGCGTCAAGATGCCTTCTTTTCACATCCTGGTGTTAAAGTTGCCTAACACGATTTTGATATCGTTACGGGACAGCTCTCATAGGTGCGATCCATGCACTCATAGCAAGCTTCTTTAGTCACATCATCGTTCTCTTCCGTCGGGGTGTGGGCGCAAATCAGCGATAAGTTGAAGAATTTCTTTTGATGCGCATTGTGACAAGACCTTAATCCACTAGAAGGCCGTCAAGAATGAGGTATGAATTTTACGATCTCTCGACAGTCTTAGACGGCTTTGTACCACTCGTAGGTTTCTATTTTGGAAAAAAATTTAACTACCGTCTGACTATTCCAACATTCGCAATGATTCCGCATACTTTCTTTGATATTGTTATCCATTGTAAAAATCGTAACACACTACTGAGGTGTACCGACTTTGACGGGAGCCGTAGCAGAGCCATAGCAGAACAATGCAAAAGTATGTGCTCTGTTCTCCTCGGAATTTTGTTAGGAAAAACTATAGCTGTAGCAAAAATGAAGTGCAAGGCTCTGTTCTGGCGTAGCGGTAGCAAAAAATTGTGATCGGTAGTACAGCAGAGTTCGGTTGAAGCCGAACTTAGCCCTTCCTTACTTCTTAACACATGTTTATTATTTGAAATATAATTTTTGCATTTATGAATTATATTGACTTTGAACCTACAGAAATAACGTACGTTCCCTGGTTCCAAGCTACCTCTACCAATTTTCGGTCAAATCGGTTTAGCCGTTCCTGAGAATTTTTTTTAAATGCATTTGTATGTATATAAGATATATAAATAATGATATTGATATGTACGTACATAGATACATATTTACATATACTCAACATTTACGTTTCAGATTTGCTGTATTTGCTTTGGGTTCTTCCGCTTATCCCAACTTTTGTGCCTTTGGCCAATACGTTGACAATGTACTCGGTGAGTTAGGTGGTGAACGATTGCTAAAGATAGCTTATGGTGATGAAATGTGTGGACAGGAACAGTCTTTCCGTAAATGGGCCCCTGAGGTGTTCAAAGTAAGTCATTATAAACTTCCCGCTATAATTTCACATTCAATGTAGTGTTTTTATCATGAACTTTAAATTACAACTTAGATCAAATATTTTAATTAATTTAAAGCTCGCTTGTGAGACGTTCTGCTTGGATCCAGATGAGAGTTTATCGGATGCCTCGTTGGCTTTACAAAATGAATCCTTGACTGTAAATACCGTGCGTTTGGTTCCCTCGAAGTCTCGTGGCTCTTTAGAAGAGTCGTTATCCAAATTTCATAACAAAAAAGTGTATTGTTGTTCCATTAAAGAAGCCCCAATTAACCTTACCAACATTGGTAATGGCGAAAGGACAACCATTCTTCTGAAGATTAATGCTCCGGGATTGGAATATGAACCAGGCGATCATGTTGGAATATTTCCCGCTAATCGCGAAGATATTGTTRATGGCATTTTAAATCGATTAACTGGTGTGGAAAATATGGAGGAAGTTTTGCAGCTACAATTGCTTAAAGAAAAGCATACATCAAATGGCATTTTCAAATTATGGGAATCCCATGATAAAGTGCCACCAGACTCAGTTCGTAATTTATTGTTGCGTTTCTTCGACATAACGACACCACCAACGCGTCAAATGCTCACTCTTCTCGCTGGGTTTTGTGATGACAATCAGGACAGGGAGCGTTTACAATTATTGGCTACTGATTCATCGGCATATGAAGATTGGCGACACTGGCGCTTGCCGCATTTACTAGAAGTTCTCGAAGAATTCCCTTCCTGTAAACCACCCACAACGCTGGTGTTGGTTAACTTAATGCCGCTGCAAGCTCGATTTTACTCCATTTCCTCTTCGCCACGTAAAGTTGACAACGAAATACATTTAACGGTGGCCATTGTTCGCTACCGGTCAGAGGATGGTAATGGTGACGAGCGTTATGGCGTTTGTTCAAATTATCTGTCCGGTCTAAATAAGACCGACAAATTGCATATTTTTGTGCGTAGTGCACCCAGTTTCCATTTGCCTCCTGATCATGAGCGCCCGATTATTTTGATTGGGCCAGGTACTGGTATAGCACCGTTCCGCTCATTCTGGCAGGAATTCGAAATGTTACGTGAGCTTAATGCGGATGTACCCCTGCCGAAGGTTTGGCTCTTCTTCGGGTGTCGCAATCGAGATGTTGATCTGTATTCGAACGAAAAAGAGCAGTTGGTCCATGAAAATATATTAAACCGCGTGTTCCTGGCTCTTTCACGTGAGTCTARTATACCGAAGGTAAGCCCAAAAACAAGCTGCAAGTTTTAACTTTGATATTTTGGTACATAAGTTCCTTGGCACCATACGAAAGTAATCGAAATCCACTTGTCCCTTGTAATAAGTTTAATCTACTTATCTCACACACTACTAAAGCTATTAATGTTATATTTTCTCAGTAAAATATTACACAGTACAACAGCTAATCTTGGGGGTGAGAAATTCCAAGTCAGGGTGATGGTACTAGGTCAATATTTTGAAAGCGTCACTCGACGATGAATTTAATGCATGGCAGGCAATCAAAGAAGTAATAGAAGGCTTGTTGGGAAAGCATCGTTCTAAAAACTACCATGTTTCTGTCGCACTTCTGAGCATTCTCGGAATTTTTTTTTTTTTTTTTTTTYCAAAATGTTGCAACTAAGCGAAAAAGCATCAATTTAAGGGAAAAATTTAAAAGGTAAAATTGACACATACGAACGCCAAACCCTTTGAGGGTTTTACTATATTGATCTAATACCATCACCCTGACTTGGAATTTCTCACCCCCCAGACAATAATCCCAAAAATGTTCCACARTGTTATCGGTACTTCCTTCGAAAGTGTGAAAATGGGTGATATCGGATAATAAGCCTAATAACTTCCCATATAAATTTTATGCACAAAGGTACAAAAGTGAGATTAATCATTAAATTGTCGAAATCGTATGATATATTAACAAGTGAGGAGAGCTAGGGTCGGGTATGAGTGAACTTTTTTTAAACTCTCATAATTTGTGTGGCTCAAAAGAGGGAAATACTTTTATGACGACAAAACTTTAGGGGTGAAAGATTTACAATCATATTTATTATCTTATTAATTTTTACTATAAGTAATATATTCACATAATTTTTACTTGTGTCCGAGAAGTTTATAATAAAATATTTTAATTAATGATAAACATATACATATGTGTAGATGAAGAAGAAAATCGCAATATTAGAGATACTAGACTAGGGGAAGGTTAAGACTGATTGAACTTTTGGCATTATTCAGTTATCCTCGAAAACATGTTTCCATGTAATTTTGTAAAAAATACCTCAAAAAAAAAAAAAAATATGGGTGCTGATCCAATTTACGGACCCATTTTACACTTTATCGGCATTAAAATACTGTAAAGACATCTTACATATTGACTAATATATACAGTATAGAGCCTACTGGAATGCTGAAATTCATCTATTAGGTATATGCGATTGGAAGAAAAATTAATCAGTTTCTGGCATTGGGGAATACAATTATCAGAATAGTATAGAGATACCTCAGATCTTCAATAATCTGATAATTATAGATGTTTGAAAATACTTTAACTCGAATATGTGGTTGAGGAGAAGTATTCAACTAATTTCATACATTTTAGGCACAAAGGTAACTGGTATAAAGTCAACCTGAATCCCGAAAACCTTTATACGAAATATATTGGGGGCTAGTGGAAATTTTGACGTGATGTTATGCTTTTTGATATGTGTAAACTATTATCAGGAAGAAGTTTTCTGAATTTTAATAATAATTAGAGAAACGCACATACTTAAATTTTAACAAACACGGTATACACTGTTGTACAAAGTTGCACTTTTACATTGTAAAGCAAAAGAGTCAGATTAATATAAAATTGTGCTAAATAGGAAGTAGGAGTATCCCCCATTCCGGTTAAAGTGTATCCATTCCTTCTCTGTTTTTGTTTTATTTGTTTGTTGCCACCCTTACGCTTGACAGCACTGATCACATTGTTGAATTAAACTTCGCATATGTTATGTTGTTTTTTTTTTATAGACTTACGTTCAGGATCTGATTGAAAAAGAATTCGATTCACTTTACAAGCTGATTGTCGAGGAGCAAGGTCACATATACGTTTGCGGCGACGTCACAATGGCTGAGCATGTTTACCAGACAATCAGGTAAATAGGAAAAAACAAGAAAGCATATAGAGTACAAAAGATGGATTGGCTGCTACTTGTGCTTTCAAAAACGATTACTCATAGACTAAACTTAATTCTTATAAACAAAATTGTAACTTTGTATCGAAGTCAACACAACCACGTTTATATTATGTGACAAATAGCTTGAAAGCACCCACTGTTGACTACCTCTTGATAAATTGATTATATTCACATAAGTCTTTTGTTGCAAACAAATGTCGCTAACAACGTAGACCCTGTAATGAAACTAACGACCTACTCCAAGTAACAAAAAAGTAATAATAGTCTGACTGCTCAACGCCACGAGTTAACTTCTAATTTTAAAAGCAGAGGTGAATAGGTATGATACGTTGATTTATGTTCAATGCAAATCATACTTTCTATTATTGTTCCTTCCACCGAAAAATAGTATTCAACATAGAGTAGGTAAAAAAAGTAAGTTATCAAAACATCCAGCTCTGTTTTAAACGCTCTATACTTTTCGCTTTATCGAATATCAGTTGTTTTGTATATGTTTGGAAAGTACCGTTAAAACTTGAAAATAAATTACGAAAAAACATTCAAGGTCCAAGAATTCTTCATTTTATAAGTTTTGAAATTGAATTGGTGTGTAAATTTTTCGTTTTTAATTTTTAATTTAATTTTTTGTAATATTGAAGCGATTTGTTTACGGTGAGTTAAAAAAAAATCTGAAAATTTGAAACAATTAACAATTCAGCTTATAATTAGCAAAAAGTCACATCCGGCGTTATATTGTTGAAGGTTTTAATAAAAACCAGGTCGCAATATGGAAAGTTATTGCCGGCTACAACAAAGAAAATCGAGTCATCAGGAAAAAGAGGCAAGGGCGCCTAAAAGTTGCAACAGAGAGTTAATATCGAATTTTGGATATTTCCAATTCTGATCCCATCAAATCATTTTCAAAATTTTGCGCACAGCTTATAAAAGAAGAGAAGAAATCCCCCTCAGTGCACGCTATATTTAACAAGCCGATATTCACGGCCGCGTGGCAAGGAAGTTACCCAACCTAAGTGAGGCAAATAAGAAAAAACGACAAAACAAATTTAAAGAGCACTTATTAAAACCTCACAATTTTTGGCATAAAGTACTCTGGACTGATGAATCGATGATTAGACTTCGTTATTCCCACGGTATGGTTTACTTTTGACGCTCACCCGAACAAGAACTATCATACAAGTTAAGTCGGTGGAAAGGGGTCGGTGGAAAGGGGCTTAATAGTTTGGGGATGCTTATCTGCGAATGGCCGTGGCAATATTGTAGTCCCGGAAGTAAAAATTACTACTGCAGGTTATTTAAATATTTTAAAGGAGTACGCCATCTCCGGCAGTCACCAACTAATGGGACCGGATATCCCTCTTTAACAGGACAATGCGCCCATTCATACTACAAAAGTCATCACAGAACATCCACAAAATGAAAATGTAAGTATATTGAAATGGAGTCCTGAAGCCCTGACTTGTTGTCATATGAAAATGCTTGAGCAATCCTTAAGATGCGTATAATTAAAGAGAAACTCCAAAATCTGGTTGATTTGAAGGATTGCATCTATAACATTTGGGATAATTTTCTCAAAATGAGTGTTTGAAGTTTGTCAACCCCATGCARCAATGATTGGGTCAAGTAGAAGGTTTTAATTTTATAAAAGCAGTGAACTTTTTCGTTTTAAATTTATTTTAATTAGATGTGTGGGTAAGATCTAAATAAAAAAAATATTTTGCTTGAAAAAATGTAAACTTTAAAATTTTATTCACTTCGCTGATTTATATTTCACTTTGATAACTTATTTTTTCTACCTACTGTAAGTATTCTAATAGAAGACCATCTTTAATTATAAGCTTCAGCATTTCTTATACTTTAAATATAGTAAATAAACATATCAATTGACAAAGAGTTACACACTTAAGTAGAACTGTTAAGCTCAGCGGTTACCATAGACTTAAAGAATTGTTGACTAAACCCTTGCCACATTTCATTTTCCTTCACCTCAGTGAGGGTAAATAATTTTTAATTTTTTCTAGCACGCTTTCAGCTATTAAGTGAACATGTACATTAGGGCGGCCCTCATTTCCCAAGTTGATTATCTTTTTGCAAACGTCCCCAAAAATTTAAGTTTTTTAACTAAAAAAGGATCCAACGCAAACAAGCTTTTAATTTTAAATTTACACCGCGCCTAAATTTTCTTATTTTGTGTAAATAACATGCGATTTTTGATATTTGCCACTAAAAATTAAACCTACCACCTTGAAATTAGGACAGCTTTCGTACAAAATTTTCAGTTCTACAAAATTGTTTCACTGATTTTTACGATGTAATTACTCATTTAAACATCTAATGTACTCTCGCTCAGTAATTCATTAAGTGAGCTCTCATGCAGTCGTAGTAAAGGGCACCCTTATGTACTTACCTACATTAGAGTGCATTTGTATTTTGACAAACTTTCGTATACACAAGCGCTCAAACATATGTTTGTAATCATTTTACAACAAATATCACACCTTTCATACGAATTTTTCATAGTGGCATTTCTGAATTCTCACTTTTGCAGGAAATGCATTGCTGTAAAAGAGCAAAAAACAGAAACGGAAGTAGAGACATTTATGCTCACATTGCGGGTAAGTCAAAACCAAGTATGCATACAAGGACATAAATGTGAAATGCTTTCAATCGTGCAGGACGTGAATGTAGCTTGGAAGTAGAACATGTATGTTTATGTAAGCTAATGTGTATATATGTAAGTACAATGCTAGGATTTGAGGTGAATAAGAGCTGGTGTGAATGTATGAATCCTATATGGGTGGCCTTGCTGTTCTTTAGCGCTATTTACCAGGCGGGTATTTTGTCGACCGATGTGCGTGGTTAAAAAATTTCATTTGTTTTGAATTGTTCGCGCATACATGCATAGTAAATGTGGGATGGTACGGTTTTATCTGTGAGTACTTTTAAATTCTTCTATTGCCCAACTCTTTCACAAGTCTGGAAACAAAATGCAAACCGTGAAACGTTTGTGTGTAAATATTTACGGTTACGAACTTTCAAGTTAATATTTATAAATAGAGCAGGGCACTGAAAATAAGGTTGAAAGGTTAAGGTAAAACGTTGACTTAAATTGAGAATATAGTAAAAAGTAAAATAGAGTTCACATAGTTGAATCTTCATACTCTTTTATATGTAACATCTAAAGCATATGTAAAGGTATAGCTGGATATAATACAATACAAAGTTGTAATACCAAAATGATGAGGATAATGAGTTAAATTGGTTTCCAGTAGCCGTCCATCACATTTAATCACCTAACGGTTGCTCATGACAACTAATCTATAATCGACATGGATAAACAATTCAATATATGAAGGTGATCGGGCGTGTCGAGTTAAGTTCCGTATGCATGTACATATGTCCAACCGACTGTCATGCAAGCGATAAATTGAGTAACCCGGCATCTCGACAGACCAAAGTTTATGGCATACTGACTGCCAATTCTATTGCCATTGCCGTTGCCCAATCTGTATGTAAGCATTTATTATCATAAGGCAAGTACGAGCTTTAGAAACGCTTAAGAATTTGGAAAGGCTTTATTAATTAAATTTGCGAAAGGGTGAACAAGATTTGCAGAATGACCATTGACCTATTTGATGAGGTTTTTTTTTATAGTCAATCCTCTTGTAAGAGGAACTCTTATAAATCCATACGCATTCGAATTGCTTCTATAAGTTTATTAAATTTAAGAATTCGCTCAATTCATTTGGTATAAATTTTCTGGAACTTAACAATATTAAACTGAATATTAGTTTTTTGAAAAAAAAAAACGAAATGAAATGAAACTGTCGTCGGTATATACAGCCATAGTCAAATGTTATTACACATTACTAATATTTTTTGCGTTTCGGTAAGTTGTTGTTGTTTTCAATATGAAGCAAATTTGTTGCTGTTGGATGAATTGGAGTGTGTAGAAGAAACGAACAAAAATTCGAAGAAAATAAGGGAATATTTCACACAAAAACAATACATTTGATTGATATACGTAAATCCATGTATATAGTTAGTATACAATAAACTTTTGCTTGTCGATACCCCGTTAATATATATTATTGAAATTTCGTAGATATTTTCCTGGGCACCTTAAGGCGGTTGGAGCTTTAGACGGGTAAAACCGAACCATTGCCATGGCCACAAAATTCTTACCGGGCAAAGTTTTTAAACTGCAGAACCAAACAATAATGAAGCAGCAAAACTGACAAGTTTTCGCACAGTCCGGAGGGCATCTCTTGTTAAACAAATTTGGAAAATTTGAAATACTACCGCCCCAAAAAAAGTTTTATTGGGATATATAGCATTGGTGTTATCAACCAAACTCCTCAAAAATAAATCAACCTGGAGAAATTTCCCTATAGCATCTGATTATATTAATAATTATTGTGAGTTGAGAAGAAGGAAATGTTGCGGGAAAATATTTAGGTTATATTTTAATAAATATATTTATCTATTGGCAACGTAATTGCCAATTAAGTCATTAATTGTGATATATCCAGCAGAATTTAATTTAGTATACACAAATGTATATATACAATTTTGATGTGTTTAGGTGAAAGTATAATAAAAAGATTCGTAAATTACTATATAATTATTATGATAATCAAATTCATTTCGCTTACAAAAAATTATCCATATTTCAGGGACTTTCATATCCGAAAGAAAAGTGAGAAAGGTCGTTTTAATAGTTTTTTTGTACAATTGTTATTTCAAGTCACAACTGCACACTTCATTTTTCAAAACAATATATTTTATTCTTATAAATTTAAAAAAATACAACCTTCGTATTGAATTTTTTTAACCATTCTCTTAACTGCCAACTATGTTGTCAATAGTAATATATATATTTTTTTAAAACATCGATTAACTTGTCAAGATATCTTTCTGTTTGAAGAATCGGGCCAATACTTTCCCTAACCTAATTTCCAAATTCCAGTTGACTTTATATCGTAATCGGCAATTAACCTGTGAGATACTTGTATGTATGTTAAAGAAATTTAGAGAGCATCTTTCATGATAATATATTCTAATAAAATTTGCAGAGCATATCTTCCTGATAATGTGAATAAATATTTGCATGAAAATGTTACCTATAATAGTAGGAAAAGTACAGTTAGAAAAAAATGTTTTTTATAGAATTTTAGAGTTACCATAAAACTTTAAAATGACATCAGTCGTTTTTGGATTATGAAAAAATTTTCGGTATTTTTCTTTTTTACTAGCGTAGACACCACTTACACGGTTATAACCGAGTTGACAGCAGCGCTCCAGTCGTTTCTTCTTTTCACTATTTTGCCCCAATTCGAGATACAAAGTGCAGCCAGGTTCTTCTCCACCTGATGTCTTCAACGGAATAGAGGTATCTCTTTTTTTCTGCTTCCACCGGCCGGTACTGTATCGAAACCTGGAAGCTGGACCTTTTTTCGTCCGGACAATACGTCTTAGCAAGCGCAACTGCCGTCTCTTGATTCGCTGAACTGTATCAATGTCACCGTAATATCTTGTAGAGGTTCCTTCCTCGTTAGCTTTGCTTTGTATTGGGAGGGTGAAATGCGGGCCAATATTAGATTTTCCAGGATTCAAGCCCCACTTATAAAGTCCAATAAGCATGTTAACGGTGGGCTTCAGTCTTTCACACACTACCCTCAATAAGGCCTTATATGCGATAGTAAGGAGGTTTATCTCACGGTAATTGGCGCACATTGTGGAGTCTCCCTTTTTGTGGAAAAAACAACCAAAAATTTTAAGACTAAAATTAATATAGTGTGGCCATTTAATTTATTCAGAAACTATTTAAATATTTTTTTAATACAATATGGTATGTTAAAAATCTGTCTTTTGACCTAACAATACTTAACGGTACTATACCAACTCATCGGCATCTGAGATCTATCAATTATATTTTCGTATGCAACTCGTTTCTTAGGATTGCTAGGGAGTGAGAATGCATTAGTATGGTATACATAGTAATGGCATGTTAAGGCTGTGTTTGATATGTTTGTTTGTTTTAGTAATTTGCATTTCATATTAGCTCAGAATGCTTTTAAAAAATTATTATATTTTATTCTTAAAAGGATGCAAACCGTTATCACGAGGATATTTTTGGAATCACATTACGCACCGCGGAAATACATACGAAGTCTAGAGCAACAGCACGTATACGCATGGCATCTCAGCCATAGATGGAAAAAACAAATAAGTTTTCCCATTTCAATGGGCCCTAGAATTYCTACGGAAGATGCCATGAATATTTGCTAAAAATTGTGCGTATGAAACTTAAAATAATGAATTATTTACCAAAAGGCGCATGGATACACCCTTTGTTAAACATATAGGTAACATATAATGTGCAAACTTACGCATAAAACCCTTATGTTCAACAAATCAAAATTATATAAGTAATTAAAGTACTCTCACTTATGCAGAMAGTTATTTAGTAATTATCTTGAATGAATTATCGTATTTATATTAATAGTGCATTACAGCACGCCGTTCGTTATATACTATGTATTTGTAATTACATACATTTTAAATATAAAACTAACTACAACCTGAAATAAACACTAACATCACACTAAAATATTTAAGACATTTAGTTAAAAATTTCGGGCATTAAGCATTAATTTGCGTATTCCGTATTAAATAAAATGTTTTTAGCCTCTTAGTACCTACTAGCGCATACTACTGTTACAGCACAATTATACTTAACATATTGTATTCATCAGTAATTTTACATATACTTGACTAATAAAATTTGTTGTGTTCTCCAAATCATAATAAATGTTGAAATACTCGAATGTCTTTTCAATTTCATATTCATGTTGCCATTTAGTAATCACGTAAGTAATTAACCCATTCCTTAAAATTATAATAATCGTATTGTAGCAGCTTTGAGTAAGCTTTTTTCGATGTTAATTCAGATCAACAATGAATTTAAATACTTTGGTAAGTATTTACCGTGTTCTGCAAATTTAACATATCACGAATACTATTTTATTGCTCTAAAGTTAGTTAGCAATATAAATAGAAATCGGAATACCGATATAGTTGTAGTTACATTTCAGAATAAGTTGGGGTTTTTGAATAACCTTAAATATTTATTGCATTGTCGTTTGTAGTATACTCTCAATATAAGTTCACCTCGAAGATTGTCATATCCGGAAAGTCTGAGACCCCATTAAGGTTAGGTGCAAAACACTCGTGTAGTATTCCTTGTTGACAATTTAGCCTGTGGGAACGAATTCGGTGTGCATCAGAACTTTCATTTGTGGGCGTGGCAGTGGGCCGATTTTGCCCATCTTCGAACTTAACCTTCTTATGGAGCCAAGAAATACGTGTACCAAGTTTCATCTCAATTTTTACTCAAGTTACAGCTTGCACGGATGGACGGACAGACGGACGGACGGACAGACGGACATTCGGATTTCAACTCTACTCGTTACCCTGATCACTTTGGTATATATAACCCTATATCTGACTCTTTTAGTTTTACTACTTACAAACAACCGTTATGTGAACAAAACTATAATGCTCTCTTTTCAACTTTGTTGGGAGAGTATAAAAATTATTCTCTTAATTTATGCCGAATTTTTCGTTTAATTCCCTTCATTAAATTCTGCACGCCTTCTTTTGTTACGGCTCGACTTGCTTTAAGCCAGTTTTTTCGTAATTCATTGACGTTTTCGGCAACTCGATGATCCTTCTTAAAGTTACGTTTGACAATTGCCCAATATTTCTCTATTGGGCGAAATTCTGGAGAGTTTGGAGGGTTCTCCTCTTTTTTGACAAAATTGACATTGTTATCCTTCAACAAAGCCAATGTGGACCGTAGTGCATTGTGGCTAAATCGGGCCATAATATTGTTGACACGATGTGTTTCTTATAAAATGGTATTAGACGACGGTTTGGACACTCCTTCTTATAATCGTCGGCCGATATAGTATTCTTTGTGAAAAATGGAGTGGTATTAAGGTCGCAAGAGCACATAGCCTGCCAGATGAGTATTTTCTCGCCAAATTTTTCTATTTCAATTGTTGACACTGATTGTTTGACAGTACCATCTTTTGGTTTTGTATAGAATTGGGGACCTGGTAATGTTCTTGAGTCCATTTTTATGTATGTCTCATCGTCCATTATAACACACTCAACAGAATCTTTAAGCAAAGTTCGTACAACTTCCGTGGCCTTGTTTTCCAAATTTTTATTTTTGGGAATCTTTTGTTTCTTCTAAGTTTTTAAGTTATTTCTTTGCTTCACTCTTTGAATCATATTAACACTGGTTTTAGCTTTTTTCGCCAAATCGCGCACAGACATTGATTTGTTTTGGTTTATTAAGTCCAACACCTTTGCTTCACGATTTGGATCACTAGGGTCTTTTTTCCGCCCACTTTTTGATAAATCTTTAAGAGAACAGGTTTCATTGAACTTTATTATAATATTTTTTACACCATTTACACTGACTTTAAATCGTTTTGCTAGCTTTCTGTATGAAATGCTTTTTTCAATGCAGTAATTGTGCACAATTTGCCTACGCACGTGCTYTTTGATTCGACCCATCGCAAAAATGATATTACAAATTACGGAGAAAGAAAAACCAATAGAAGCAGAACTGATCACGCTTTCTAACGTTACTTACCGCTTTATGATCAAACGGCTACTTCATGAGAAATATTGAATTGAAAGTGTGCAGTTTCTTTTCGGTACAGTCCTTATTATCCTTAACAACCGCGCCGCTAGTTCTGCTTTCYCCAGAATAGAAAAGCAAGCGAAGCAAATGGGTCGAAGAAATACCCAACAAAACTCTACAAGTCACTCATTTTCCCATCCTGCTATACGGTGCAGAGGCATGGACGATGACACCATCTGATGAGTTGACGTTACGAGTTTTCGAGAGAAAAGTTCTGCGAATGATTTATGGTCTTTGGCGCGTTGGCCACGGCGAATATCGCATTCTGTATTAGATATACGAGGACATGGACATAGTTCAGCGAATTCGTCCGAATGTCGTCCGAATGGACGAAAACACTTCAGCTCTGAAAGTATTCGATGCAGTACCCGCGGGGGGAAGCAGAGGAGGAGGAAGACCATCACTCTGTTAGAACGACCARGTGGAGAAGGACCTGGCTTCGCTTGGAATCTCAAATTGGCGCCATCTGGCGAAAAGAAGAAACGACTGGTGCGCTGGTGTTAACTCGGTTATAACCGCGTAAGCGCTTTCAACGCCAGTGAAGACTAAGAAGATTCTTGAGTAATGAAAAAAGTACATGCAGTCAGTCCAAGCCCCTAATCCTAATATGTATGAGGTATATATCAATTTCCGATAATACATACTGTTGGTTAAGTAATTATTATATATTCGGTATATGTATTTGGTAAAAGTTGTGTTTTAGCTGTGTGTGTGAGGTAATACTTTTCTCGGAATTGTTGTTTTTGGCAGCTATTACTTGTTTGGTTTACCATTTCATAAGGAATATACTTACTTTGGAACAACTTTTGCAAACCGTTGAAGTGCATTACCACAATATTGTTAAGTTCGCACACTGATTTATCGATAACGTTTATTTCATCGAATAATGCGCATTCTCAGAGACGCCGTATAGTGCGCACGTAAGACACTATAACTGCTGTTCAGCCCAGTACCGAAAAATACCCCAAAGAGCCCATCCGCTATCGCTCGCAGCAACAAGTTACTATTTGATGTGCTGTTTGGGTATTATTATAATTAAAACAAAAATAACACAGTCATTAACCATGTGGAGAGCTGCGGCTGTCAAATGCCGAAATAATTTAAAGCAGAGTTTATGTTTAATAATAAAACTTGACTATAACATTAAATTAAAGTATCCTACAATTTTCAAATTKAATTATGTACAATCATTCATGTAATTTGCAATTTAACTCCAATTTTTCATACCAATTGGTTTCATGTCTTATAGTCGTTCATCTACGTGATCTTGGTATTTTCTTTGTCTTAATGTTGAACGTTTTGACCTATACAATTTTCTTCTGCGCCCTCTTAGTATCTTGTACGGATAGAGGAGGCCCTTCAGATMAAGAAAATACTTATATGTATACATATAGTTGCCGCCGACTTATGGTTTTTGAGATATTTCAATTTAAAGTTCAAAAATTCTACTATTATATTTTTACCTCTTATATCCACTAACACTTCACTAATTCAATAATGGGTAAAAATAATTTCCGCTTACGCGATTATAGTCGATTTATTTTATACTAAAGAGTGCAAAAATAACTTTTATTCAATATCTAACCTGGCTACCTGTCGGTTCATATAGGCTGTAAAAGGAGTAGAAATAGAGAAACAAATGTTTGTTGAAACTATGAAGAGATTGTTATTGCAGATATGCAATAGGCAATTACGAGTATGAGGAACTTATGTTGAACGGAGCGCACGAAACACGTTCTTTTTATACTCTCGCAACAAAGTTGCTAAAGAGTAGTTGTTAGTAAGTTCTAAAACTAAAAGAGTCAGATATAGGGTTATATATACCAAAGTGATCAGGGTGACGAGTAGAGTTGAAATCCGGATGTCTGTCTGTCCGTCGGTCCGTGCAAGCTGTAACTTTTGTAAAAATTTAAATATCATGATGAAACTTGGTAAAGATATTAAAATGAAATTTGGCACAAAGGATCGCATTAGGGAGTGGCATATTTGGACGTAATTTTTTTGGAAAAGTGGGCGTGGCCCCGCCCCCTACTAAGTTTTTTGTACATATCTCATAAACTGCTATAGCTATGTCAACCAAACTCTACAGAGTTGTTTCATTCAGGCATTTCCATATACAGTTCAAAAATGGAAGAAATCCGATAATAACCACGCCCACCTCCCATACAAAGATTATGTTGAAAATCACTAAAATTGCGTTAACCGGCTAAAGAAAAACGTCAATAACACTAAATTTTACGGAAGAAATGGCAGAAGGAAGCTGCACCCAGGCTTTTTTTTTTTTTAAATTGAAAACGGGCGTGGCGACGCCCACTTATGGACCAAAAACCATATCTCAGGAACTACTCAACCGATTTCAATAAAATTCGGTATGTAATATTTTCTTAACACCCTGATGACATGTATGAAATATGGGTTAAATCGGTTCACAACCACGCCTTCTTCCAATATAACGCTATTTTGAAATCCATCTGATGCCTTCTCTGTATAATATATACATTAGGAACCAATGATAATAGAGGAATAAAAATTTACACAAATACGGTATTTGAGCTGAGGTATCCCTTGTGGAAAAATTGTCATGATAACTTTTCAATACAATTATAATAAATGAAAATACAATTCAATACTCAAAGTACACAAATTGATCTAATCTAATTAATTTTACAGAAAAATAAAAAAATATGTAAATGACGGATAATGAAATCTCGATTATCACTTTATCATGCGAGAGTATAAAATGTTCGCTGGCACTCTAACTTAGCCCTTCCTTACTTGTTTTTTTAATTTTTGTAATAAAGTCATCGACTTGTAAATGTTGTTCAGGCGTAAGTCTTTCCACGAAGAAATGCCAAGCATTGCTGAACAAAAATTACTTGACAGTGTAACACATCTCAAGCTAAATAGAGTAAAGTCAGCCGGTTTTTCGAAAATTCGTGTATAATTTATGTAGGGGCTACCCAGTTTTTATTTAAGTTATCGCTTGGACGAACAGATTAATAGACAGGCATGTAGTCCATCGCGTTACCATGAGTATTACATTAGTTTTAGATGTTACAAGCAAGCGATAGGTG